TTTTTAATATGATAATAAAATCTTAACAAATCAATTATGAAAACTTTTATCTTCTAAAATTAAGAATTAAGCACATGGACCCATATTAATTTCAATTCTCAAAAACATTTATTTAAAGAAATATATTACAAACAATATAAATCATCAAGATTTTATTCAATAACTTGAACTTTCAAGTAAGAAATGATTCCTTCACATCTTTATAATGCATTTGTCATTTGTAAACTTTGTTATTTGAGCTTCGACACTCATTGCGAAGGAAACAATTTTCTTGACTTGAGACGCTCCTCCAAAGTTTCCACGTTTTTACTCGGTTACAAATAAATAAAAAATATCTTTTCTCACTAAATGGTCAATTGAGAGCAAGAAAAAACAACTTATGTGATGATTTAAGACCCAATTTAAAAGCTGCGGGGTATATTTGAAGATGATCTAGGATTTGGGTTTTCAACAGGTGATTTTGAGTACGAATTCTCAAGTTAAAAGCATTAGTTTAAAACTGGATTTATCTCTAATTAATATTTTACCATCCTCATCATGTCCATGCGTTAGTATATCATCACCAGCCAAAGACAATGGGAGTATGGCCAATAAACTACTTGTTTGTCCAATTAGCCAGCCAATTATGTGCGTGCGTGTAGACACACATGTCTATAGACTAGCCCTTTCCTTTCTGCGAGGAAGATAATTACATCTTTTGATGATTTGCTTCATGCCCTAGACAGCCTCTCTCTCTCTCTCTCTCTCTATCTATCTTTCTCACGCAATTAATGGCTGGAATATGGAAATATTCCTCTAAAATCAAATCCCACATTACATACACACATACATACATGCATATATGTATGTATATGTATATGTAATGTGGGATTATAGAGGAATTCCATAATTTTTACAGTGAAATATACGAGCAATGTTCCGTATAGATATCGTACTAGTACCAAAAGTTTTTAGTTGATTTGAGAGGAGGGCACGAAGAGTACTTAGGTTTTATTGGATACATTTTCAGTTTTATCTCCATGTACTAGTAGTGTAATTAAATTTGCTACTTTTTGCCATATATTTTCTTATACGTTCGTAGCTCTACTCAATTATCATGACATAAGCAATGTCTGCTAGCAGAACCTACCAGCTTGTATCAAAGCATTTAGTCTCGAATTAATATAGATAAAGTTGTCTTCTTCTTGTAAATTTTAAATCAAAACAAGCAAGCGAGAGATTAACTGAAATGATCAATTATGTATGTAAAATTCGCTCGTAGGTCAATAAAGAAGACCCCTAAGAGTGAGATATCAGATATCAGATACATCAATATTATTACGTATGTTGAAGAGGAAAGAAAAGTGTACAGATCGATGTTACTTAAGTTGGGAAGACACTGAGCAATCAGGGACGAGAACCTTGTTGGAAATGCTTAGAGAAAGGAAAGCCAATTAACATCCAGCATGCACTAAAGTTCTGAAAATAACAAGCCAGAGATGATTTCATATCTTCAAATTTAATCCTCACCCCCAAACCTTCATGACGATCTAAATTGGGTGAGAGCAGGAAGGTAGAGACCAACCCATATGGCCAAATATTCAAATTTTTTCCCCTTAATGAGCATGCATAGAGAACTTTTAGGTGGCTAGCAAGTCACTGCATTGCGACCATATTTGAAAACCTTCATCAAAGCTCTCCAAGGTATCTTGTATACTTCAAGTTTACACGTCAATAGCCAATCAGAGGCCAGAAGCTCTTGATTTCTCTCTCTTTTTTTGGTGTTCTAAAATCCAAGGTCAGATTTGAAGGTGGGTGACAGTTGTGACATACCTTAATATTGACTAGTTGGATATTGGCAAACCAGAGACATGTAATAACTGAGCACTAATCAACCTCATTAATTTAATACTTCATTAATAGCTACCTCCTTTTGGTTGATAAAAAAAAAGCAGTTCAATATTTTTTTTTTCACATCAAGGTTTTGAAATTTGAATAATAATATATGCTAGTTCATCATATATCAGAACTATCCCAAATCAAAATATATACACTTAGATATTATCTCCTTTGAACTTTAGCTTCGTCATATTGCCATCCAATAGCCGCATTGAGAGAGAATACGCGTCTGTCCCATCCAGTTTTAACGAAGCTTCAAACGTTTTTCCCACTCCCCAAAATTATAGAGATTGCAAAAGAGAAAGTTAAGATGAAATTCCTTGTATGCAAGAAGCTTTCTCGAATTTCTCTTTTCCTGGAACATTCTTCTCCTTAAATGCAAACGAGGGTATCCTTGAAACTCTTCTTTCGAAGAAAAGGAAAGACAGCTTGCTGGTAATAAATCATTTGACCATAACAACCACAACAATAAATAGTGTCATGATTTTACGCACTTTACAGTGAAAGCTTATATGCTTGTGACAGCCATTTTCGGAGGATATGCAAAATCAAAGTAACTTTTTGGGCAATATAGCATAAAACTCCTCTGGGTTTCCAAAATCATGCTAAACTCCTTTTGATATCTCAACACGCCACATTCTTGAGTTCTCGTGTTCATATTCCTCCCTACCTAGTGCCCTAATAGGACTCTTAATTTTTCCTTTTCTTTTAACAATATGTATTTACATATAGACATGTACGTAGTAAGAGATCATTAACAACTTACAAACACACGCCAACACCCTTGTAATTACTTCCTGATTAATAGTAATATAACAATGAGCTTATTACCTTACTGCACAGTACTTGCCTGCCACAACAGTAGCAAATGAATGGAATGTCACCTTCGCAAAGAAGAAGAGGAAGAGGAAGAGGAAGAGGAAGTATGACACCATCCCCATTCCATAACTTTATGTTATTTGGTGACTAGATTAAATAGCCCTCTTTAATCCTTGTGTTCGATCTCTTAAATTAAAGCTCAAGAAAACTACAAATAAAAACATTTTAAACCTAGAAATATAAATTACACATTAAACTTAAAGTTGTATATCATATTCGACCTCATTGATATTTTTTTTATTTTTTTATATAACCAAATTGATATTTATCACCAAAAAAGTTAAATTTTATTATTACTGGCTTATTATAATGCAAATAATATTTTATACTGACATCGACGTCAGCAGAGCGTCTCTAACATATTTATTTAGATATTAAAGATTTTTACTCTAAAGAAAATCACTTTCATTAAAAATAAAAAATCTAATAGATATCTGTGATGTTTATAATACGAAACACGCTTCGAAATAAGGGTTAGTTTTGTCACTCTAAAAAACATGGAATGAGAATCACAATAAAAAAAGTGAAAATGATTCCTTAAAAAAACAATTGCTCCAACTAGCTGGCTTTGGTTGATCGTGTACCTTCTCCCTTATTTTAGAATCCCCATGGCCCTCCTAAAAGATCAATAATAAAGGAAGGAAAAAAGAGAAGAGGATTGTGAAGTAGTTTGAAACTTATGCGTTATTTGCATGTGGTTTCCCATTTTATTTTATTTTAATAAAAAAAATAATTAATTATTAGATGAATCTGGTCCATCACCTAAGATCACAAGAGAGCATATCATCTTATTTAATTGTATCATCAACTTTGAAATAATCAAATAACAACTATATATGATTGAATAAAAAAAGAATTGTTTTTTTAAGAGGAGAGAAAATTGATTATTGCTTCTAATATGGCAATAAGATAGATTTATAGTTTTTAGAACCAGACTTTCACTTATAATCTCTCAAAAAGAATTTTTTTTATTAATTTTGTATTTGTATATCATTTATAACAAGTCAAAAAGAACATCACGATATTTGAAAACCATTTTGTTTATCTTTAGAAAATTTGGTAATTGGTTGTTAGTTTTTATTTTAAGAAATAGTTTTTTATATTTATTTTATAAATTAGAAAAGAAAAGGAAATGGAGAACAAAAACAATATTAACAGATGTGTTAATAGTGTTTTAGACTGCTAGATGATATACCTGTATATATTCTTATATAAAAATATGTGTGGATTGTAGAAACGTATATGAATGAAGATATATTTTTTTTCTGATATATTTTTTCTTGTCAGTTTCATATTTATTTTTAATTTATTTTCTTTCTTGAAAAACAATTTCAATTGAGATAGAATTAGGTGAAATGAGATATTTTTAAAATAAAAAACAATAAAAATCGAGAATGTTCAACAAAATTAATTTTGGTAAACTATAAAGATTAAGTTATAATAAGATTAATTTAAGAAATTCTACTGCACCTATGAATTAGAATGTGCAGACCATTGTGTAATTTCTAGGCTGGTAAAAAATCCTTACCTATTCTAAAACTTTTTTTTTTTTTTTGGGGGGGGGGATATTTGGCCTTGTTTGTGATTGAAAATCTTGTCTCTCCCTCTCTGTTTTCTTTGTTTTTTTTAAAGAACATGGTGAAAGCTCCTCGTGCACAAACCAAGTCAACAAAATTAAAATGATCAGCAACGACTCCTGTGTCATGGAGTGGGAAATGGGTCGCATTATAGTTACCTCCATGACTTGTTGTAAATTAGCCACCTCTTTTTTACAGTATGTGCTACCTACTCTTGAGGCTCTTTTAAAAAACACCCCCGCATATATATATACTAATAATAATAATAATAATAATAATAATAAACAATACCGAAATGAATAAAGAAGGGGAGAAAATTCCAACCCTTGATTGCATATGGCATTTGGTGAGCTTTTTCAAGGCAATTCTCCATGGTTGTCTTGGTCAACACTGCCCCCCCCTCCATAACAGAGAGGCTGGTGGATGGTGGAATTCATTAAATTCCTAGGTTGCCCTTTTATGCCCACGTCATGAATAAAATCACATGTACAAGTCACAAAAAGGAAATAGCCAAATTATATAATACTCCCCATAAGGACAATATATATATATATAAACCTTAAATTCATTTTTAAAGTGAAAAAAAAAAAGGGAGAAACAGACAAG